TTTCAGATCAGGTTGTAGTGATTTAAGTTCACATAAAACTAGGTAATTTCAAATGACCCATCCTGCACTTATGATTTGGTTTGGTTTGTTGTTTTATGCCGCACTCAAGCAATATTCCGGCTATATGTAAATAATCGAGTCTGGACCAGACAGTCAAGTGACTGACATCATGAGCATCGACCCACACAATTGGGATCAATGACATGCATCAACCAAATCTCCGAGCCTGACCGCCACCTGATCGCATTATTCAACTCTTTAGACAAGCATTGTTGCCTGTTACGGCAAGTATTGTGTTACTTTTTAATTGTGTGTCCAAATTACGCCATTATTAGAAATAATATGTATTATTATACACATGAATATGATATAAAAATGGCAAATATGGTTGACAATATGAGCATTGATCTAAGCAATTGGAGCAGAATTGTGAATATTCACCTAATGAAGGAGTAAGTATATCATGTATATACTTCGAAATGTTGTGATCATCATAATAAAGAAGTTGACATCAATACATTCTCCACCTTAAAGTCCTTATGTGTATCACTTGTAAATAACTTTCATAGACTTCAGGAGTATATCTGTGATATATGTGTGCACTTAAATAAATCACTGCATCCTTACCTGAGGCAGGAATAGATAATTTGACAGAAACAATAGTCAATTTTATAGCCAAATACAGGTATTTGAAGATTTTCAGTTGTGGCGACACTTTCAGTGAAACCCATACAGTATTTGATTTGTAGTAGTAAACTGTTCTGGTATTTTCTGTCTGTAGCTGTAAAGAAGTTTCGAAATTGTAGCGAGCAACTGCTCAGACATAAGGAGGAACAAGATGACATAGATATTAACCCATTTGTAAACTGTACAGCCTGAAGTATGTTTGTTGCCACATATCAATAAAATAGTTCCATATTGGCTGATTTATTTATTGTAATGTAAGGGCAAAAAAAGCATCAGTTAGTACTGACAAATATCTCTTGTAAAACCTTTCAACATGTTCAAATGACACATCAAAAGGCCATTGTGAAAAATTGTGATCTGACAGCACCATGTTAGGATTCCTAAATACAGTTTCAGCTTGACATTGAGTACTTTAAACTTTAAAGCGTATAATATATTCACAATAAGTTAGCTGCGTCTGCCAATCAGTCGGCGAGTAAATTGGAGTAGGGGGCTAATTTCTAAGGTAAATTTGTTTCAATGTTTAACAACAAATTTGTGTTTGTATGAGACAATGTGTGTTTAATTCCATATATTTTACTTCAAATCATTATCACAATAAATTGAGTGGTGTATAGGATAAGTTGGAGTAGAGGCTAATTTCTAATGTAAACTTGATTTAACATTTCACAATTATTGGTCTTTGCAAGTTATCAATCCAAGTTTAATTTCATATAAGGGGAGGGGAGATATCTAAATGAACTTTCTATAAAATTAATTTTTATTTCCTACTTACTAAAATAAATATGAAATATATAGTATACCTGTAGTCCAGTTTCTTGACATTTTCGCCAGACTCAGTTTCAGCTTGACATTGAGCTAATCTGAGTGAAGCTACTTAAAACTTCAAAGCATGTGATCTGTCAATGATAAGTTTAGTTGCACCACCCAATCAGAATCATGAGTAAATTTGAGTAGAGGCTAATTTCTAATGTAAACTGTTTTTAGGTGATTAACATTTCACAATTATTTGTGTTTGCAAGTGACCATGCGAGTTTAATTTCATGTATTCGGGCATGTTCAGACCCAAGATAAAATAAATAACAAGGTGCTGCTTCACCAGGCAATAGTAGGCGAGGTGCCGTTTTCACTTTATAGTATAACCCTCTCGTACAACTAGCATAGGTTGATGGGGACCAATTCCAACCCGGAATCCCCACATGAGTGAGTATGGTTTTACGCTGTTTTAAGCAATACCACAGCAAGGGACACCTGACATGGACTTCACACATTGTACCCATGACAAGAATCGAACCTTGGTCTTCAGCACTTCAACCACTAGGCTACCCCATCGCCAAAATTCCCAACATGATAAAGTTGATATACCTTTCAAATGTCTAATCTTCCACTTCACTATGTTGGGCGAGTACCACAGATTGATTTGTCTGTACGGTATGAACTAAGAAAATGAGTCACATTAGAGTATGTAGATAAAGGAATATAAGGGAGCACCTTTAGAATACAGTACGACAACTTCTCGTGAGGACGATCTCTGCCGTAGGTCACATGTCTCAAGATTGGAGTATATTACCTGATGACTAACAGTCACATATGCATAGCACAGGTTAGCCTGTTGAATTTAATATTCATAATGGACAAAAAATTTCATAGAAATTTATCGTATGGTATGGTGCATGTAATGCATAACATTCGATGACGTAACCCTTGCTATTGCCATTATAAACTCAACTCAATACCTAAGTAATAAATTGTTAGCCTGACAGCTAACCGACTGAGCTACGTCCACACTGTAAAACTTAGTGCAAATTTATCTAGTCATGCCTATGACGTTACGGAACTGAACGAAAAGGGTCGAATAGGTGACGGACACTTACGAAGGTTACGGGTAGGCATGGTGTCTCGTGACTTTAGTCTACGGACACTTACGAATGATCCCGATGCCATTTGGCACACTCGTCCCATTCCATAATCTACAAGATACCGAGTGGTGAGGAATGAGCCGATATGCCGCGAACTGAAAACGGCTCCAGGCGTCAGACGTCGAACTCGCGAGTACGCATGAATCATATGGTATGTAATAATTCGTCGGGTGATTTTTGTGACAGAAACGTGTGGTAGGGAACACTGTAAGGATGATGTGGATAATAGTAAGGAACGATGGAGGAATAAGCATGACTAGTGACGACACAACGGTGAGTTCACTTTTGAATCAGTACTGAAAAAATGTAGCCGGTGAAAGTGGCTTGTGTGAATGTTCCAGGACAGTTTCCTGTAGCCTAAATATTTGACACAAAACCATTTCATCCTTTTACTCGACGTTTTGTGTGAAGAATATAAGGAGCTGCTATATAATCTATAATAGCCACTAAACGAGTACCTAACCCTAATGATCCTGAAGGGGTGATTGATCGTAAAGGGGATCCAAGGGTTAAGGATAGACTTCGGGTAATCTAATAGCCACTAAACGGGTTCCTAACCCTAATGATCGTAGAGGGATGATTTATCGTAAAGGGGAACCAAGGGCTAAGGATAGAGTTCGGGGTAACCTACCCTAACACTGGCGGCATTTGGATGTGTTCAGCGCCAATATAATATCCCTAATAAACTGCATTCTTGTGCATATTAATGAAAATTAATGAACCGAAAAAATATATTAGTTCCCATTTATAACCCTTTTATCCACTTCAATTACGAGAAAAACGAAATAAAAAAATATATAAAAAATAAAAGTGCTTTCGTAAACTAGCGCTTGCTTTAAAATGCGCCGCGCAGGCTATAATTAGTAAACAAATAGTCAAAACTCTCAACACCGCAGGGCATATTCAATTTCATTGCGTCAAGAGATGATAGATCACTGGGAGGAGCTTATGCACACTCGATGACCCCTGACGTCACAGGGCATTGTTTCGCCGGTGTGACTGGCAAAAAAATACTACAAATTACGTCATAGGGTATGATCACGTGTTTGAAAAGTTTGAGGTACGGGGTGCCGTTTCACGAAAGCCTCTTAGCGCTACGGCCTCCTAACCGCTGCGACCTAGTTTAGGATGTCTTAATGACATGTCCTACGACCGTTTCACAAAGGCATCGTAAGCCCGTCGTAAACCCCTCTTAAGATAAGAGTGAGATTACGATTTACGACATCCTAACTTGCATAGCAACGCTATACAATTCAAACCGGAAATGGAAGCGCACCTGTTAATTTTTATCAAAAAAGAGGCAGATGCTAAACATGAATTAAATAAAAGCTCACATTGTGAGTATAGATAACTACAAACCTGTTCGAGTTTAACGATAGTCTGTTACACATCAAAGTTCCATCAATAGCTGTCAAGTGTGAGGGTTTGAATAGTAAATCCAGCGACAACAAGCTGCATCGGCAAAAATAGTAACTCTCTTGTGTGAAAACACGGAAGATTGTAATATTAGAGTTGTTCCCCTACGTATCGGCAGACGACCTTCAGATATATATTATGGACGCTTCTGGACTGAAGAAAAGAAAGAGAAACTTCTCCCCGGCTGACATAGATATCATTGTGTCAGGCGTGGAAAGTAATTTTGACACGCTGAATTCGGCCTTTACAAATACAGTGACAAATAATACAAAGAAGAAGATTTGGAAAGATATCACCACGAAGTAAGCGCCTTTTATTCTGATGAAACCTTAAAATGAAACTCTCATAAATATAAAAATGAGTCTATGATTTTCACCCATGAAAGCAGGGGGACATTCCACTATATATTCATTTGTTTATTTATTTCAACTTACGTATTTGTTTCCCAGAATGTTCAAAAACGTACAAGAATTTGTCATGTGTTTCAAGGGTCATAAAATGTGAGGTATAATGAAACAAATTGGAAATGGGGGGAAAGGTTTATTGAGAGAAGTGGATCTTTACTGGATTACATAATGTAATGATAGTTAAATAAGGTCAGATTATTTTCATTTGTTTCACTTTATGACATAAACAACTACGAACCACCACTTCACTTCAAAATTTTATTAACCTCTCACTGTTAATGATCATTGCATAATGATCAAATATGAAAGAACAGGAGAGTGGGTGAGTGATTGTTCCTCAAAACCACATCATCAATCTTGCCAGGTTTTTTTATGATGAACAAATAAAGTAACATCTTACACAAATTTTACACAGTACAGTCATATTTTTAAATAAAGATACCAATTTCAAATAATTTTCACAAATGACACTATTACTAATCATAATAATATAAAATAATAATAATAATTTTAAATATCAGACTAAATGCCACTGGTGACATAACCCGGAATGAGGAGTACGTAAGAAATGGACGGACATGAAGGGATGTGTGAAGAAGGCAGAGTCAGCCAGGAGGCTGAATGCTAGGAGGACTGGTGGTGGACCACCCCCAGATGACCTAACTGCAACTGAAAAGAGGGTAAATAATTAACATAAATTCATGTGAGCATGAAGCCTACAAACAAAATGTTTCAATATGTACCTGATAAAGTAAAATGGTTTGAAACATATTGAGTTTGTGTGACAATAGACATTATTCATGAAAAACTAATTGTGTATTACACATTTTAAAATAAACTATTATTATAGTAATATAGCCACCAATTCCTTCTTTAAATAGATTCTACAACTGATTCCATCCTGTGCTATTGAGGGGATCTCAGGAGGCATGGAAACACCTGGTAATGATGACACTTCCTTCTTGGGATTCATGTACATGTGTACTAAAGTCAATAAAGTATGTAACTTAATCAAGTTTTATTGGTATTTGATGGTATATTTATGACATATTGACAGTATTTGTTATGATAACACCAATGAAAAATATGTTTTATTTATTTAACAGTGTTCAGCATGATTCCTTCAGTAGCTGATGAAGCTGAAGAAGCTACACAGGCATTAATGTTTGGTAAATAATACTTCAAACTCATTTATTTCTTTGTTTTGAAGATGTAAATAAACTAAATATTGCCATATTCAAAAACTAATACCTCCTGCATATTGGCAAATTCCCCTTACATATTAAATGTATTATAAATGAACACATGTATACAAAAGAAATATTTGAGATTTCTCGATGCACTTAACGGTCAGGCACAATTAAGCAATATCTTCAATACAAATATTTTAGTGCACTCACAACTTATATATTTCAGATTCTCCACAGGAGGTGTTTTACACTCCACTGACAGCTACAAGCACAGGAGAAAATGATTGTGGAACTATCACAGGTATGAAATAATTTTTAATAATAAAGATAATCAAATGTTACAATTTACACTGACATGGTGAATAAATTCATATACTTGGTGCTATTTTATTCTAAAAATCCAAGTGTATGCTGTAAATACATGTGAACAAACCGAATACCGGTACCCCATGTGCGATGTTAGCAGTTACAATTATCTTAAAAATATTATATACATTTCAGAAAAGAACCAAGCCAGTCTGGAGGATATAATGATGACTCCTGCTATCAGAACCAGTATGTATTAAACATTATGCAACTTTATTCAATAGTAAATTTGTATTAACATTAAAAAATCAAGTCACTATATCATGAATTCTAGTTAATAACAATACAAATTTGTTTTCAAGGAAAACCTAAAGGGAAGCATCTGATCAAGAAAACATCTAATGAAGGTATGGCATATATTTGTTCATAATGTAGTGGTTTCAGTTTTACATATCATGATCATAAATGTTTAATCAAATAATATTAATGAACATCCAAATATCATTGATATAACCCAAAATTGTCTAAATATTTTCAGAAGACATTCTGGGAGAGATAAGGTCCTTACAAGCCCAAGAGGAGAGAAAGATGTCTTTCCTTGAGGAAATTCAGTCTGTGCAGCGGGACATCCGTGACATCCAAAGACAGAGCCTGGCCCTGGAAAGAGAAAAATTTGAATATAAAAAATCATTTGGAAACTCATTGTCTCCCATAATCAACTTTGATTGAAGGCAGTGACTCATGTTACTGTTTACTTGTGATCACAAAGATGTTTAGTTGTTTGTGTTATTATTTGGATATAGCATATGTACAAAAACAATACATTTTCATAAACTCCAAAAAACAATAATATGAGTAGTATAGGTAATGATGGTTCTGGACCACTTCCACTGGAGCCAGATTCATATACCTATACTGCTATTACAGGTGGCATTTTTCATGCTAAAATGATGATGCGATTCAACGATAGTCATAAGATTAAGTTAAATTGGGTCTAGCTCACTAATACCTGGGGCCAATCATTGCTTCTATTAGTATAAAAATGATGATGCGATTCAACGAAAGTCGTTTTAAAAGAAATATCAATATTAATTAATAATGAATAAAATTTACTGTAGCCCACGAGGATATTGGAAAGGTGTAGGAGCAATAAAAAAATTAGCCACCGCGGCTAAGGTATCTAAAGATGTGGCCAAGGATTGGTTAAAGAAATAAGCGATGTGGCAAATATATTTACCGGCACCGCATTATATACCGAGGAAGAAGTTTGATATTTTTACAACGAATGAAGTTCACCAGGCTGACCTCTTGTCTCTTCCCCACGATAAGGTAAAACGCAAAACGTATAAATACGCTTTAACAGTAGTGGATGTGGCTAGTCGATACAAAGAGGCTGAGCCATTAACCTCGAAAGATTCAACAGAAGTAGCTAATGCACTGAGCCGCATATATAAACGCGGACCATTAAAATGGCCTAAGCTATTTCAAGTAGATCCCGGTCGCGAGTTTATGGGATCGATAACAAAACTGTTAACAAAGCACAATGTCGAAATCAGGCGTGGTGAAAGAGAGGCCCACCGCAGTCAAGCTATCGTCGAAAGATTTAACAGGACATTAGCGGAAAGTTTGTTTGGCTATCAGTATGGGATCGAAATGAAATCGGAACGATTGAGATCAACCGAATGGGTGACACGGTTATCAGCCGTTGTATCAGCGCTGAATAATGAAGTGACGAGATTAATAGGGAAGAAACCATCCGCTGCTATTAAAATGAAATCCGTGACTTCCGAATCCTCAGCACCGAGGAGAGGCAAAGAACGAAAACTTCCGGATAGAGTAAGGGTAAGATATTTATACCAGGCAGGTGAACTCGAAGGAGGCCTATGTCGCGCAACCGATCCCATATGGTCCCTTAAGACGTAAAACATTAGTTGATTGGTTACAAAAGAAGGAGAGCCTATTCTTTATTATCTTCAAGATGGACCGGGTAGGGCATTTGTACGAGAAGAGTTGTTCATAGTTCCCGACGGTACAGTATTACCACCATAACCATAAGCATAGGTAGTTACACCATCATTATCAATCCATCTCTTTGTATCTGAGGGGGATAATGATGTCTTGTTCATTCTTAATCCATATATCCTATGATTGTAACATCTTAAAGAGTTCATCTCGTGTTTGAACGTTCTACAGTTGAATAATGATTCTTTATACTGTTTGTGTTTGATATGCTTTTTTACAACATACTTCTTAACGCCCTTAGCTTTTCTTATCTCCCCATTATCGGACTTCTTTATAGAATACATCTTAGGTCTTAATCCGACATACTCCGCTATAGGAGTCCAAGCACATTCATCCTTCATCTTACCTGACACCTTTTTATTTACTACGCTGTGCAGTGGATTATCTTTAGGGTAATCGCTCGTGTCGTACATATCTATTTTTTCTGCTATATCTTTATACACATCGTCGGTTTGTATTTCCATCAACAAAGAATCAGTGTCGGTATATAACACCTCGCATCTATCGCCGTATTGCTTCTTAAGTTTGTTGTAATAAAAGTCATACATTAAGTGTTTTGACAAGTCGAGAATACTCATACCGACGTACACCGGTCTGTTGAATTTTATATTACTTTTCTGCATATGCAACGCGGCTAAGTCATCGAATATCTTGCTTCTGTTAAAAGCCGGACTGGCTATAAGTTTCCTGAGTCTTTCTTCCTCATTTGATCTGACTAATTTAACATCAACACACTTCCTTAGATTCTCCATAGTTTTACCAAATACTGAGTTATTCATGAGCTTATAAAGGTTCTTTTCGAAATCGCTGGTAGCTATCTTTCTTAAATCTGTGTTCAATTTTATATAGGGCTCCATCCAAGGGCTTTGATCAAACTTTAGAACTCTGTGTATTTTCTTAAGTTTCATACCTAACGATAGATATAACTGGAGATTTCTGTAGTGAACTATATATTTTGTCTTATCCATCAAATTTGGTACGAGTTTTTCTACGTTAGCTAACCTACTATTACCCATCAAGGAGCGTTGATATTCCGACATCCAATCTTTATTCACCATTAATCTTTCGGGAGCTAGCAGATAACTGTTATGATCTTTATGTAACGAACTTGGATATTCCAAGTCAACTTCTAGTATGTACCCTTTATTCACATCATTATTATGGATATTATGGATATCATTCACTTCGATATCATCGACCCACTCAAAACCACCCGTGGGTAAAGGTTGACTCACAGCCCATCCGTACAAATTGTTAGCGTCGAGATATAATATGTGCGTGTCGGGTTTACTGGGATCGTATCCTTCCACTTATTTATTATTAGCCTTAGAATACCTTTTCGCTGCCATCGATATACCACCTCTTAATCCTTTCTCAATACACAAGTGCATATTGTAATCTGTGAGTAGTTTTAGTTCTACTCCGGTCTTCTTCAACAATGCATCCCACGATAGTCCGGGACTGGAATAGTACCATGCCGGGTCCAAGCCGTATTGTTTTAAACATGTCTTTCTAAATATCTCGAAAATATCGGCAAGTAACAGTACATCAGTTTTTAAGTACAGATCGTGATAATCACCTAAATTCTTACAACCTAATTTATCCCAGACCGTCAGAGCGTGTTCATAATCGGCATCTGTTATTTTAGATTCTGTTAAGTTATTATAGAATGATTCGAGGGGTGGTAATTCAGTTTCTTCGAATCTAGACCAATCATCCATATATTCGTAAGGATATACACCTTTTCTCAGCAACAAATGCCGAGTTATCTTATCGGTATATTGATTTGTTATTGCAAAGTCATCGGGATTGTTCACATTAGCTAAATTGTCCAGGGAAGATAACAGAAACTGTACGGAGTCTATGAATCTAAGCCCATTACTTTGCTTTGTTCTAGATTTCCCATCCTTGTCCATATAATGTATAGGTTTAGTCAACGAGAACGATATGTATTTTTCCATATTATTAGGAATGCACGTTAAACCGCCGTCGGTCTTAGAGATAGCTTGCATAATGAGATGTGAATCGTATCCCCTAAGGTTGTGAAACACAACGGGGATGGGTAGGGTATTGTTTGAGAATTCATTTTTAGTTTCAAGTGACACTCGTTATGCGCGGCTCCCCGATAATTACCCGTGACGTGACAATGATCTCTTACGGAATCCCCATCCAGGGGTTTATTACAAACATGACAACTCTTTGACTTCTTATGGGTCCACCAATCATCCCTCCTCATACACATGGGTTTCTTACACGATAATTTTTCCCTGATTATTCTCTCTTCATTTTGTAGATATTCTAGGAACTTTCCCGCTGCATCGGGACCTCTGTAAATCACGGGAGTGTTTGTTTTCCCATCATACCTTACAACTATATATCCAAACCCACAAGGAATATGTTCTTGAGTTTTGTACGTAAAACTACTATCTTGATTATTATGGTTGGTATTTTCTATGGGTTTGATAAGCGCTTCGAAGTCGGCGTAAATTACGTACAGTACTGGCATTTGATTACAATAATGTTCAAATTTTATTATATATTTTCCCTCTTTAGGCATATCGATCCTGATAGCGGTCTGTCCAACACCTCTACAGTCTTCTTTATGCGCTTCTAATAGATCTTGTCTGCTGTACCCATGTAGGCATCTTTCACAGAAATATTTCTTTCCCTTATATTTAGTTTGATCGTATAATAGCTTGTTTAAACTCTTTATCCATGTATAATGATATTTACCATCTTTTTCGATCAGAAATGAATTGATTCTGGGGATATGTTCCGGAGCGGAGCTTATCCTGTGTACAACAATTCCTTTAGAATGTCCGAAAACATTTATAGCTAAATTATTTTGCTTTTCCACCTTATCAATTTGTGATATTGGTGTAGGTTCGTCTATACCATCGAAGTTGAGTCCATCGTTTTGGGGATAGCTAGAAGGTCTATCCGGATGCTTGTCTACGGGGAACAATGCAGATCTTATCATCATTCTTAAACAGTCATCGGATTTATTTTTTACGTTAATTATGGCTTTTTTCTTCTTATAATACGGGGGTAAATCTATATAAGAACCACCTTTGAAGGGCATATAATTTGCTATATCTAAATATAAACTATCGATTTTATCCACACCCCAATCTGAACCTCTATTAGTCCAGCGTTCTAAAGTTTCCTGTATCCTCTGAATTGATGTATCTAATGATGCGTTTATAGTATCGGATTCGGTTATAACTTCTTGATTGCTACGGAAATATGGTTTTGGTATATTCGGGGCTATCGTCTGAGTTGCTTTTACTCAATAACATTTTAATCGTCAGCTGGTATTTTATACTATGTAAATCATCTAACTCCTTGTTAATTTTACTCGATATGATGGGCTTAATATTGTTAACATCCATGTTTGAATTAATATCCATCTTCCAACCTCTTAGATATTTACCAACGCCGGCGGATATGGGTACAAATATTAATTCTTGTTGTTGATTATTATCAACATCATCATTATCATCATCATTAGGTTGATTATTATCTAGTAAAGAGATCAATTCAGCTCTTCTCATTCGAGAATAACCTCTCAGCCCACTGTTTCTCGCTTGAGCTTTGAGTTCCCTAACAGTCTGGGGTTTGTTGTATTCCAAACCGAGTAAGGTAAACAATTCAGCTTTTCTCATTCGAGAATATCCACGTAGACCACTTTGCTTTGCCATAGCCTT